GGGGACAGCGCGGGGACAGGGGGACAGTGCGGGGACATGGGGACAGCGCGGAATGTGGGGACACTGGGTACGAGGACAGCGCGGGGACATGGGGACAGTGCGGAATGTGGGGACACGGTACGGGGACAGCATGGGGACAGCGCGGGGACAGTGTGGGGACATGGGGACAGCGCGGAATGTGGGGACACTGGGTACGGGGACAGCGCGGGGACATGGGGACAGCGCGGAATGTGGGGACACTGGGTACGGGGACAGCGCGGGGACATGGGGACAGTGCGGGGACATGGGGACAGTGCAGAATGTGGGGACACGGTACGGGGACAGTGCGGGGACATGGGGACAGTGCGGAATGTGAGGACACTGGGTACGGGGACAGCGCGGGGACATGGGGACAGTGCGGAATGTGGGGACACTGGGTACAGGGACAGCATGGGGACACAGGGACAGCACGGGGACAGTGCGGGGACATGGGGACCCCGCGGGCACCGGCGCCCTGGTGCCACCCACACCCCCACTGTCCCCACAGATCCTGAGCCAGGCGAAGCCGACGGGGGCCCCCCCGGGCGCCCCCCCTGCCCCTGCAGCCCCCCCAGCTGCCCCCGTGGCCCCCCCGGCACCGCCCACCCCCTTCCTGCTGCCCCCCGGGGGCTGCCCACCCCTGGCGCCGCCCCCCGCCCCGGGGGGCCCCACGGGGGTCGCCGGCCCCGGCCCCCTCTACGGCGGCGACAGGAGGGACAGCGGCGTCACCTGCGAGGGACGCGGGGACACCGAGAAGGTCAGTGCGGGGGGGCCCTGGTGACGGGTGGGCTGCGAGCTGGGGGGGGGGACACGGGGGTCCCCGCAGTACCTCAAGAAGCTGCACACGCAGGAGCGCGCCGTCGAGGAGGTCAAGCTGGCCCCGTGTCCCATGTCCCCATGTCCCCGTGTCCCCATGTCCCTGTGTCCCCCTGTCCCCGTGTCCCCATGTCCCCATGTCCCCGTGTCCCCGTGTGACCGTGTCCCCTGTCCCCGCAGTACCTCAAGAAGCTGCACAC